AAAAATCTTTTGAAAAATGTTTGTGTTTGGTAAAAAAACAGCTGACTAGTAAGTTTTTTGTTGTTGAACTGTTAAACTTGTTCTCTCGCTTGACTCTTTTTTACTGGATTTTTGGGTAAACAGACAACATTTAGTAACAATTGTTACCAAATATCGAGTAAACAGACAGAGTTATTTTTTATTAATTTCTCTTTCAAGATGAGCTACATGATCGGAGTTGCAATGAAAAGGAAAGCCAGAGAGATACTACATTCCCACCACTATGTGACGCGTTTCGCCGTTGGTTAAGCGGCTCATCACTTGATAAGTTGTATTTATGTCGACTATTGTTGCGAAATTGCATCTACGAATTAAATTCAACCGTGTCAAGGTTCGGACATTTGGCATCACACCAGAACATTCCTTTTCAGAGCAGATTTTTATTGTAGTGACGGACTTTTTTCCATACAGACTACAATATTTTTTCTTCAATGGTATGCAACTGCATATTGTGCAACTTTAGGAAGATAAGGAGGTGGCTTTGTTTCGAGAAAAAACCTACATATGCACACATTTGTTGATTTATTCGTTGTAATTCAATTATAAAGGGGATTATGACTAATATATATGATCGATTTTGCATTTTCATATAATTTTGAGAGATTATAAATGTAATCGCCGTTTCAATGAAAAATGTTCATGACAATCATTATTAGGACTGCTGTTTAAATTTTTAATTTGCAAAGTAATAACAGAATGCCACGTCAGTTAATATGTATACGAAAAATAACATTATTCAGTTATGAGATTGCGTAATATAAATCTCGAACTCATATCAGTTTCGTATTCGCATAAATAAACTATAAACTATTATATATTTGTTTTATTTAGAAATATCACATAAATATTAATGAAAATACCTCGAATTTTATGTCCATAATTAGTAACAATGAATAAATAATAATGCCACACAATTCATGATTAGCGTAAATTATACGAACACTTGTGAAAATGTAATTTATTGCTAATGAAATGATGATTTGTATTGAAGTTGAATATCGGGAACGCACTATGGGCCGCAGATACCATTTTTGGCCAAATTTAGAGCAATGGGTTTGTGAAATAAATAAATATCACATATAAATAATAAAATATCACATAAGATGCTGATTACGATTCCTCAAGAAAAACGTCAAAAATTTAATAGGGTAGATGGAAACCAACGGCAATTTTTTTTTTAAGTTTAATTGTAGAGCTATGGCCACTAATTACAAATCAAAAAAATAATAATAATAATATTGAATTGCATGAAATCGTATTTGTATGTTTTATGGTCTTAAAACTATGTCATATCTCAAATAAATTTGAATTATAGGCAATTTGGTTGAAAAAAAGTGCTCAAAATTCCTAAACTATCAAACTATCGTTTATGTGAGGCCTACCCTAAACTAAAACTCCTTGTACATTAGAACTTTTTGCGGGTTAACCTACTTTATGAGGATTTATTTGAAGTATATGCAAAGGAATTGACAATTGAAACCCACTGGGTTAACGAAATCCGGTTAAATGTAAACATATTATAAGTCAATATTGATAGCTTTTGGTAAAATTTCAAACCCAATGAGAATTTTAACTACTAAATTACAACCAATTCGGAGCAGAAATGATAATTTTTGTTAAGTATATTTGCAACACAGTGCTATGTTAGTAATAGTCTATTTTAATGTTTTTAAGGGATTTTTGCCAAAAATCCTGGCCCATAGTGGAATGGCACTACAGTTCGACTATTGTAATGTATTTTTGTGTCGCACCTTATTCTTACTTTCCCCTATCGTCCACCACTACGAATTCTATGTCAACAAATATATACGTTGAAATGTGTTATTATATTGTGCAATGGGACTTACCTCTTGAACTGCATAAAAATGGAAAACACACACCCATGATACAACGCATTTGCATTTTTAATGTAATTTTTTTATTGTATTTATTTCTATTACACATGTTTTATTTGTTTGTTATTGTTGTGTTTTTTTTCTATAGCTTACACAGTTTGCCAAGAAAGAAAAATTAATTGTTTGAAAATTCACCATAAATGGTGTCGTTCAGTATTTTTCATTTGAATAGAGGGGAAATTTTGAAATTTTAATTACAATGCTGACAATTCAAAAAATCGTTTATTTTAAAAGTGATGATAGGTTCTCATTTTCAAGAAAAATTTACTAAATATGTTATTTTATATATTTTATAATTTTTATATTTATTATATATTAAGGGCAAAAGACCACAATCAAAATTAATACCACTTAACAATATTTTTGAAACAAATCAAACCCAGAGCTTTAAATATTTCAATATAAGAAATAATTGACTTAACCACTTTCAAAATAAAATGTTGTATTAAAAATATTTAAAATCTGACGCTACCGTTATATTAAATTAGAGCTATTCCCAAATGTAGGGCATAGCTCATTGAATATTATTATTATTTACGCGAAGATTCGACCAAATAACTTGAAAAAATACGGATGGGAGACTGAAAACACAGAAAAACAAAGTTACCCCTATATATAGCCTATTCCAAAAATTGAATGTATCTATTTTCAGTACCAAGCTTCCTGGGAGTATTGTAATGAATGTAAAAACATTGCCAGCTGTACCATAACTTCAACATACCTACAATCATACTGAAATAAATCAAATTATTCATATTTTCGAATACTCAATAAAACATTTTCATAGCGTTTAAAAATTATGCAAATGCTAAATTTTGCAAATTGAATTAAGAACAATTTCGTAATTTTCTCCTGATCATTTTTAAAAACATAATTTGTCATATTCATATTGACACGTGTATTATGTCGGAATCAAATTAATTAGGTTTTGACGACTTGACAGTATAAAAACGTTGACGGACATAAATTGTTCTATATTCAACAGTTTATAGAAACGATTTTGTTAGATATGAATTGGAGACAGCAGATAATAGAAAAGTTTACAAATTGTTGCTGCGAAATCTATGTAAAATCTACTCTGACGAAATGTCAGTAGGTTTCGTAATGGGCCAAACGAATGGAAATGACCAATTGTCGTTTTATGATATAGACAAGTACAAAATCGTAATGCCATGATCACTGTGGAAGGATTATAAACTCTTTTATACGAAAAAAGTAAAGCAAAGACCAAAGAATGTCTATGGCTATTGACTATTGAGACTAGACAAAATTGAAAGAGAACCAAAACAAACATTTAACAATGACTTTAACATTCGTTTCATATTTGATATATTGTAACAAAGTCACGAGTTTATTCCATTTCAAATTTCTTCCCTGACAAACTATGTACTCGATATGAGCTATATTTAATAGATCTGATGATATATTTTCTATTACTTATTTCACATGTCTATGTTAAGTTTCATTCCATCTTACAATTACTTTAGTTTAGTGAAAATACTACAGCAGAGAGTTAGAGTTATCAATCTCGTACTATTTACAAAGCATCTCTCTTTAAACTTAATATTTACTTAGAATAACATTTATTATGGCTTCAATTTGTTTAACATTTTTTGTTTGTCTTGTTGTCGTTTACACATTATTTTGTTTCTTGTTATTTTCTTGTTTTGTTTTCATTCACAGTATGTTAGGATTTCGTTTATAGCTAGTTTTTGTTTTTCTTTTCTTTTTTTTATTAATATAAGTGACTATTATTATTAGCATGTCGTTATAAGCATAAGCAGGTGGAGAGTAGGATGCAGCCGAATGCTTTTGGGTCAGGGATGACTATGTTTAGTTTTTTGTTTTGCTTCTTCTTCTTCTATTTTATTTTGAATCAAACTTAATGATAGATAGGCCAGACGAGGAGAGACATAATGCTTTACTACTATGATAGTAGTTAACGAGGAGGTTGGTTGTCACAGATTCGCCACTGGGACGACTAGGACGACAATATTTATATTTATTTGAGTTTTTTTTTTTTATTTCGTTTTCTCATTATTTATTATTTGTTTAATGCTTTACATACTAAATACACATACATAGATCTACATATGATTGGATTTACATTTACATTACATAGTATCCTTGATCCTTGCTGCACAGGTTTACCGCCGCACACAACAGTCCGGGTCGGTAAAGTATGAGCACAAGTAAGCAAGATGTCATTGTACAACTAATTTTAAAATGGCTTCATGTATTCGACTCTACTCATGGTACACTAAAGTAACTATCAATGTAGTTGTTGTGGTCTCCATCTGTGTGTGTGTGTGTGTGTAGAGTGGGGTGATTAAGGTGGTGAATAGAATAGATGGCAATTTGATGATGGCGATGTCCAACAAATTGTGACCTATTTTGTAATGCTATCCATAATGCAGTGAGGGTGTGTGTCTGAGTGCTTTCTATATGGTTACATTGACGGAAAATGGCCAGAGGCGAGGAAGAAAGTTGGATTTTTTCTTCGAATGCATTATTTCTACCCCATTCTATTGTCTATTTGTTTTGCAAAATAGTTACTGTCAATATATTGCCCTTACACACACTAATGCATCCTGATAAACCATTCTATGCGTTTGATGCCGCTCATTTTTTCTTAGATTTCCAACTGAAAATTGTTATTTTTCCATGAGAATGAGATATTGTGCTATCATTCATCATCTTTATTATGCAATAGTTACGCTACATAGGTATTGGGCGGAAACATAATTCTGGAACACAGTATAATCATCAACGCTATTGCTGGCCTAAGAAGTTAATAGATGATGGAGTTGTTGTTGCTGTCGATGATGGTAGTGTTGTGGTGGTAGCTGGAAATGTTGATGTTGAATTGGATAAACGTGATTATTGTAGTGGACACCGTGGCCATGACGATGCCGGCGACGTTGATGTTGTAGCACCACGTTCGCTTCTTGTTGACCTCGTGAACGTAAAACTGCTGCAGGCTTTTTAGACAGCTGCGTTGCTAGAAAGTTTGACTGCTGGCGACGATGGTGGTGGTGGTTGAATTGGTCATGTTGGCTGTTGGTCTTATTCGAATTCAAATGTTTGTGAAATGTTGGCTCGAAGATGAACAATTGCAAATGCAATTGCTTTCGCAATCTTGCACGCAATTTACGCTGTTTGTGATGATGCTGCTGCTATCACGTACCCGTCGAAAGGTCATCTTTAAGCCACTGCGGAATAGGACGTGCTCCAAGTTTCTTTAAGAGTTTCACAAGTGCTGTATTGTGACTTAAATAGTATCTGCAAAGAAAGGGCCAGCAAAAAAAGAAAACATGAAAATGGCATATTTCAAACTTTGGAATGTAATAAATAAATATGCAAGTAAATAATGTACACAATTTATATAAAATTCTTGTATGAATTGCTGAGGACATCTTGCTTATGAAAGAATACGTTTTACAGAAATGCAAGTTCTCTATAATTTGTTTTGATAAAATCTAGGGCGAACATATATTTAATCGAAATATGTTGTAATACTATCCATACCTGCAATATTTCAAATTACGTATAATTCCCATAGCATATAAAAAATAAAAATCTGCAAATCTAGAAATTTGAATCCAAATGAAAATACAACATTACAAATTATATTTTTATTATATTCAAGGGGAAAGAATATGTCGGGAGGTAACCTAAAAAGACGTGGCAATATTTTTCATGTGAGTGTTCATAAAAATATGAACATAATTTACAATGTGTATAGATCATAAAATATTTAAGTGCCTAACATAAATATATTTCCATAGATAAGTACGCGTAAGGGATAATGCTTGTGTGAGCTGTGAGCTGCGTGAGTTTTGTGGAAAAAAAACGTATATGACCAAAAAAAATTCTGCAAAAACATTGGAAGATGAAGACACCAACAAATTGGTCGAGTGCCTGGAAGAGGCCGGATTGTCAGAAGTTTTCCCTTTTTAAAAGGTAAGTTCGATTTGTATCATCGTACATATTCAAGTTTTAATATTCCTGGGTAGCTGTCAACGTTTTCTTTAATACCTTGCAGTACTTAGATAGGGATGATATAAAGGAGGCTATTCCAGCAATAGGAGCCCGTGCAAAGTTCCGCAGCAACGTCTTCGCAGGGAGAAATGACATGGTAGGTTTTCTTTTTCAATATACTTAGAACAATTTTCAGTTCGTATTATCTAACAAAGTTTCCACAATTCTAATCGGGATGAAGTGAACAACTTAATTCTTGAAGAAACTAGAAAAAAGAAAAGAGCCCCTCCGGCAAGCTTTACTCAAAATATGTGAAATAGATGATTCAGCATCGCTAAGCCGAGATTCGTCGAATTGGTGTGATGTTAAGGAGAAATGACAAAAAACATTCTGTTTACGGTGCAAATAGCTGAAGATACTAAACCGTATTGACTTTTTAAAAGCTTGGCCTAGATATACTGATGCCAGAAGCCCAGACTTAGTAAGTTAGTATTTATTATTTAATGCCCAGCGGGTAACGTGTATCTTATTTATTAGATTAAGCTGGATTTTGACATACTATATCTAAAAATAAAACAATTTTATGGAAAAAACACAAAATGTACGAAACTGACTATTGCATGGAACTTTTCGGGATTGCTAAATCCACGCAAAATAAAGGTAATTATTGTTAACAGCAAATGTAACACATTTGTTTCAGAATTCGATATTTAAAAATACACTGATCATTTCAGATGCTCAAGATTTTATCATTGCATCTTTGCTAAATGGAGTATTGCCTTGTACAGCACGATTCAAAAATAGTTCCGGCAAATATTGCAGAAAATCTACTATTGCAGATGCTCAGGAAAGACAAAAATATGTATCTTAAGTGTATCTATTTATGTAGCAATGTATGAAGAATTATATCGATATATGTGAGTATTTTTTGAAATAAATATATTAATGCTGGATTAAATTTTCATTTATTGTGTTCATTTATTACATTTATCTTAAGGGGACCCCCCATTCTCGGGGTCAAACATTTTCTTGATTTAATTCGAATCTATACTAATTCAAGAATGTCCCTACAAAATTTCAAAAGAAAATCTCAAGACTTCTTGAAGATATAGCCGATTTATTGTGTCACCATAATGTCACGGCTAGAGGGCTTCTCAAACTTTAAACGCGTTTTTCTCTTTTGTGAATGGCGGACACGATAACTCAAAAACTAATGACCCTTAAATATTTTCCCGTTTTTTAAGTTACAATAAAGGGCGCTATTCTATTAAATTTAGCCATTTAAATCGGTGTTATTGAAAAGATAATATCTAAAAAATCAAAATCAACCTTTACTGTCTTATTCACATGTGTCGGGTTTCACTGAAAGAATACTTCGTCTAAAATTTAATGCATTTTCGATTTACATTTGTTGGACTCTTTAAATATTCTAACTTGCAATATGTCATTAAATATTGTTTAAATTTGATTTCTGATCATTGATATGTAGCCTTATGCTGAATGTTTGGCATTTTCCCTTTGAATACCAATGCAGTCGTTTTATTATTAAGTAAAAGTAGATGTAAACTATTATTCTTTGTAAAAATTTAAAACAAAACTAGTTTTTCCAAGAAAATATTTTTCAATGTGTTGTATACTTCTACCCAGCAATTTACATTCTACAAAGGGAAAAAAACAATACGAAGATGATTTTCTCATAATAGGATTGCTTTGATAGTTAAACAACTCGAAGAAGATTATCATTCTTCGTTCCATTTTTCTGTTTGTTTTTTTTTTTTTTTTCACTATGTTCTTTAGCTTTACAGAACACATCAAGAATGTAAACAATACGATGAAATGCAAAAAAGTGCTTGAGTGAAAGTTCCAAGGAAGATGAAATGCAATTAATGGCATAAAAATCAGATTCAATGAGTCTTTGGGTAAAAGTGTTTTTAAATGAGTTTTACTTTCCCTCTCTATCTCCCTCTCTTTCGTTCTGTCTTTATTTTTAGTAATTTTCTTTATAGCTAGAGATGGTATTTACCGGGTAAATACCCAAGGGGTGGGTAAATACCCATTTGCGGGTAAAAACTCATTACCTTTGTATGGGGGCTACCAGTAAACGTGGACCTACATACATAAAATTTTGCATGGACATTTTGTACTCAAAAAGAACACTCTGTACAAAATTACAGCCAATTTGGCCTTAAAATGTGTCTAATAGGCTAAAAATACCTTAAATTGGGAGACACGGTTATATGGAGGCTATATCAAAACTTGGACCCAGGGACCCCATGTTGGATTTCTATATTTGCTCTGTCATTAGAAACATGTGTGCAAAATTTTGGCCGCTTATGTGAAGTGGTTCCGCAGTTAGTGAGTTTATACCCAATTTTTGGGTAAATACTCAAAATAGGGGCACCTTTGCATGGGGGCTACCAGTAAACGTGGACCTACATACATAAAATTTGGCATGGACATTTGGTACCCAAAAAGAATACTCTGTGCCAAATTACAGCCAATTTGGTTGTAAAATGTGTCTAATAGGCAATAAATACCCTAAATCGGGAGATACGGTTATATGGGGGCTATATCAAAACTTGGACCCAGGGACCCCATGTTGGATTTCTATATTTGCTTTGACATTAGAAACATGTGTGCAAAATTTTGGCCGCCTATGTCAAGTGGTTCGGCAGTTAATGAGTTTATACCCATTTTTTGGGTAAAAACTTGGGTAAATGCACGTCTTTAAAGTATCGTAAAACTATTCATTCTAAATCGATTTGATAACAGAAACCCGGAAATAGGGTGCAAGATGTTGTATTACCGATTCAATATAGTAAATACCCAAATAAATACCCACAAATGGGTATTTACCCAATTTACCGGGTATTTACCCTTTGGGTATTTACCCACTGCCCATCTCTATTTATAGCACATCTCACACAAGAAACTACATTGAAAAAAGAAAATAAAAATAAAAGTGGATATAATCGGATACATCATTACGTATGAGTTATGTGAGCATGTGTGCGTATGTGTTTGCTGATTTTACCCATACCACTCTGCTGAATGAAATGTTCACATTATCCATACGCACCAATGCCCATGGTTATTGAAAGTCAGAAATAAGTTGTACGGCACTGTCTGTAATAATGATACATTTCCACATGTCAACCATCGCCTGCATGTGTATGTGTGTGTTTGTACATCACATATATTTAAGGCGTAGGTTATAATGCCAACCTGAGGCTGAATAATTTCTGTCAGACAATCCTGCGGTGATGATAATTCGGCATACATGTATATATAGGTATATGGGCAATATTGCAAATTTTTTAACATAGCTGAAGCGGTGGTTCACCCCTTTATAACTCGGGAATTACTTACGTATATGAGAAAAAGTGAATAGTTTTGGGTTAATTGATCTGTCGATGCAAACTGTTCATGATATTGACTTCCAAAATTTATTTAACGTAAACAAATGTGTAAAATCAAGTTGAGACGAACCAGTTTTTTATGTTCTCCATCGATTTGTGATTAAGCCACTCATTTCACGGTCTTCGTGTCGAAGTAAAACTAGAAGCCAACAAAATGGGGAATACACTCCTTATGCATCATTTTTCAAAATTTTAACTGGATCTACCTTGAAATGATGTTTACATTTTGAAGCGCATTTTTGTGTTTTTTTTTTTAATTTTACCTTTAGCTTTAATACGTACAAAAATCGATTATAAGATTATTGTAGTCGCGAATCTGAGTAATTTGATATATATTTTGTGTATGTATTATGCACAGTTTCAGAGTAATACTCAACCGAAGGTGGGCATTTTGTGCGATCAAATTTCTAAAAAACCTATTTTTCGGACCAAATTTTTAGATGTGTCAACTGAATGATATGGGTACCTGCGATCAGTAAGGTTTTTTAGGTTTCGGATGATATAAAATCTTCTTCGTGAAAATCCATCGATTAGAATGACGGGAACTGGCCTTCCAAAAACACGAAATTTGGCAAAAAAATGTTTTTGAAAATATGGCGGATTTAATTGCATTTTCTGTGGATCATTTCCGCTTCAATAAATGACCAGGTACGGATTTGATCTTTTTCGAAAACAGAACTTTAAAAACTTCAGCCGAAAGAAAGATGTTCCCAATTTATCTCAAAAACAGTGTGAGCTGGGTCATCCATGGTTCTTAATGGACCGCAATGAAATCGGTATAGATCGATGTATATTTTTAGGGTGCATACCGAAATCGGATGCGCGTTAATGGCATATGGAGTTTTCGGAAGTTATTCGCGTTTTACGAGTATTTGGGTACTTCAATGCCACGTGTAGTAGGGTAAACTGGGGCAACTTCGGCACTTTTTGTTTGGAGCTCTATATCTTAGTACTTATTCAAGATATATAAAAACTTTATGGCTGATTATTGTCCTCTGACACTTAATTATAAAAACTAGTACCAAAAGGATATACAAAATTAGTATTAGTTAAACATTTTTACAGTTTTGTAAAAAAAGTCAAATTCGACGAATGTGCCCCAACCCGGGGTAGCTTCGGCATTTGATGTTGCACATCATCGCATCAGTCTGGTTGGAATTCAGATCCTCTAAATGCTCTATTTGGTTTTAATACGCGACACAATGTTTGAATTTTAGAGCTATATTTTCTAGCGGCGGACGTTGAAATCTCAAGGTCGCACAGACCATCAGAAATAGCTTTTTTCTATCGCATTTTCGTCAATACAAGCATGTTTAGTTCTATATATATATATATATATATATATGTAATTTCAAACCATATTAAAGAGTTATTTTTAAAGACAAACTCAAAAACATTTTAAGGAAATAATATTCCTCATATCCGTATATGGCCGAATGTGCCCCACTTTAAAATGCCTAATCTACCCCGAATGTACTTTTTATAGTTTTTTTCATCTTTTCTATCAGTCTTGTAAAAACATTATATCACACAGACTTGTGTGATCTTGATTCATCATGGTGTTTAGATTATGATGATATTTTTAAATTATTTTTTAGGTTGATACATGTTATTAATAAAATGAAAATATTGAGGTAATCTCCTATATTTCTATTATTTTTCTCATATTTCGCGAAGATGTGCAACTTTTTCGCGATTATTATAATATATGCATATTCTTATTTTGCGAAGAAAGATATATATCAATGTTTTTGGTCCATATAATAAACCGCGTAATTTTAAAACTTTTATTATGCCCAAAATTAAAACATCGATACCTTTTGCGCGCGTCAACCAAAAATTTAATCGCGAACGGTTTCGGAGTCAGAAAATTTTTCACTATATGTGTACCAAAAATCATTGATGTACCACCTAAACAAAAAAGCAGATTTTTTGAAAATGGAATATTAAAAAATTGGCAATATTGCCCATATATGTATATATACAAGTTCATCGTTCACATCACTTAAGACAAAGGCAAAGAGTAGAGTAAATAAAAAGAATAATTAACGAGGTAGTATACAGACATACATATATGTACGCATATACAAGGCAAGGAATCTTAACAATAAAATTTTCGTGGAAATCCCAGCTTCTCAAAAAATAAAATGAAAATGTAATTAAAAATTTCCTCAATTTTCTTTTTATTACCACCTATGGGGGTAGTGGGGTTACCAAATAGATAGACGTTGTGGTGGATGTTGTCAACAATTTTGTTTATAATTGTCATTTACTCTGAAATTCGTTAGCGTCTGAAAAACTTTAACTGCGAATGTATTTAAAAAATTGCTGTTATCCTGCAATTTGTTTCCGTTAAATTTCATCAATCGTTAAATTTGATCCTTTCGTTGTGACTTCATTATTTATTCTTTACCATTTATTTTTGGTTAATTAAAATTTTATAAATTTATCATGTCCGAGATATGCTTGAGGACAATTATTTCGAATGTCTCTACAGGAAAACTTATAACATTCGTAATTTGTCATGTAATAAGGAAAAAAATTCTCCAAAAACTGTGAATAATGATGAACTAGGAAATCTTTCAAGAATACTTTCAAGTCGTTATCATTAGACGTCGTTCAGTCGTAAAAGCCCTAGTCATTTCCCTGCAGTCACTGGGGGAAAAAATAAATCAGGACTACCGATTTGTTATTCATGTATACAAAACTAACACTAGAATAAAGTTAAAAAAATGTCCTTTGTCATTACCGTTCTCCTAAACTGTCAAGCCATATTATATTGCCAACTCAAAAATAAGCGATTCCAAGTAAATCCGCAAGAGGATTCCAGGGTATAGTTGGAGAAGTTAAAAAAAAATCAGCATATCAACAAAGCTTGGTCCCCTGCAAAAGTTCGCCGAATAACAAATTACTAACGAACGAAACAAAAGCATGGCAAACAAATGAGATCAGAATGACGACAACGTTCAAGAACAGAAGCTGCTGCCAACCAACGTTGGCACTTCTGAGGAAGATAATATTGTCGTAGTATCCACAAAAAAATGACGAGGAATGCAAATCATTTGAATATGCCAACATATCTGCTTTACCTCGGCGAATACGAAAATGAACGTCCATCCGACCAACATACAAAAGGGAATATACGAGTATTTGTATGCATATAGGGAATGAAGCAGGATAAGCAAAAAACAGCTCTCCTTTTTTTAATCCACAACAAAACGACAAATAAAAGGTGAAAGAAAAGCTAAATAAACAAAACGAAAAGAAAATATAAAAAATGAAAAATCCAACCATGTGAAATAAACTGAAGTAGCAGACACATCCATCATTTCCATAGTAGAAATTTCATAGTTGTGGTTCATCCCTCAGCTATTTAATCTAACCCAAAAAAAAACTGATACAGTTTTACAGCCACGTCAGACATTTAGTACGACTAGCATAAAAACCCACATTAAGCAGCCACAAACGAAATGCGGAAAAATACAACCAAACGAAGGAAAGAGTGGATGGAAAAAAACTCTGCAACCATCCATCCATCCTGCCGACCGTTCAGTCAGCCTGGCAGCCAGCTATCCATCATTTTCAATCCCAAGTTAATGATATTCACTTTTGCTAGTCTATAAATATGACGAGTGGCACAGTGTATGGATTATGAAGTTAAATGGCAAATATGTAAATCTTTTTCTGGAGGAATAGATGATCTGAGATGATCTCACAACGAATGACATTCCCATTGTCCAACTACGGGTATGTTAAGATAAACATGAGAATCGTCAAGTGATTGAAGGGAGCCCATTGCGTCCACAAAATGTAACTGTTTGGTCCGAAGGTGTGATTACTTCTTCGAAACGACTGACAACAATTCTATCAATTCGAAACGTTATTGTCTTATGATATCCAACCTGTTTGCCTGTTACTGAAGAATTTGGGGTTTATTACAAGAGACATTACCTGGCCGCTTATCATGCACACAAGACCGTGTTTATGCAGATAAACCTGCAACTTTAAACCCAACATTTGTCGCGTTATGCTTGAGATATCGCCCAATATGTGTCGAAAAGAGGTCGAAATTGCCTCAAAAAATCAATGCTTGCATCAAAATATTTTTTATTTTTATTTTTGAAACCACTGTCGTAAAACCCATCTATGTTTACCATACACTGTGGCAGTTTTTCTTCCCCTTTGTTTGTCAAAGAAGACACATTCACTTTCTTCACATTGCTATTTAACACTTTCATCAATCACTTACCGTTGCAATAATTTAGCGCTACGTTCATCCATGAGTGGATATTGACGTCCCTTTGATTTTCCCAAACATTTATTACGCTTCTCGCTGACCACCTGGCAGAAGAAACCCTTCTTTACGTCGTAACGCAAATGATTGGAGTAGTCGAGAGCCGGTTGGATTTTCAAAAAACGCTGCAAATCGTTCATCACATCGACAGGATTGAGACGCAGTTGTTCGCCATCGATGATGTGTAGCTGCTGGGCCGGATAATAGGAGAGCCAACGTTCAAGGTGTTGTGCGTATTTACCAGGATTAAGGCAACGATTACGTAAATCCCTGAGTGCTTTTGGTGCTGAATCAGAAGCCGTTATGACCTGCAATAAAGAACAAGAAGAAGCCAAAATGAAAACGGATGAAATAAGCAGCTAAGATGAGAATGAGGATATTTAAAGCTAAAGAATGTAAATATTTGTTTAGGTCTAAATGTCATTACGGATATTTGAATGTTTTACGCAAAACAAATAGACAGATGCTTTAAGGGGTGAATAAGAAAAAAAGATAGGTAGGTAAAGATATATAAAATAATAAAATTATTCTTTTGATGATATGTAGTTAAGTGAAGAGACCGGACTTCAACACAAATTACCGAATACCTACTCAGTCCAGGCAATTAATTTTAAATTTTGAATAGAACCGTTTATAATTACCGATCCGGAGATTGTTGTCATTAATTGCAAAGTTTAAACTTATAACATACTTCATAATTAATTATTTTTTTATAAACATTAAAAAACATGATCTGCCCACTTACACATCCTTTAACAATTTAGGTTGGAGCAACAATTATAAATGTAGAGCAGGGCTCTCCACACTAATACATGTAAATGCTTGTTATTGCACTTGTTTCAAATACACAATTTTCAAATTTATTTTTCTCTGAAATTGACCAAAAACTTTATTTTTGTCGTTTTTTCTGGTCGCTCCAGAGGCCGCAATTATGGACCAAACACCGCGATTTTTTTTAACACCGCTTTGAAAGAAATTTTCACCCACGGTAGAAGCAACGTTTCTTTGTGCTGTGGTCGGGGTCCTTGCTTGTTTTAGTGTTGACATTTTCCTCTGAGTGGTGCTGTCTTCTGTCATTACAGCTTTCTACAATTCCTATTTTCCCTTCATGTGTTGATACTTGGATCGTTTTAAGCAAAATAAAATTGATTTTATGTTTCGTTTTATAACTGTTGATGAGACATGGATCCACCACTATACTCCAGAGTCATAATAACAACCTGAACAATGGCCGCAAGCTGGAGGAAGTGCCCCAAAGAAGACAACAACAATTCAATGGACTAGTAAGGTTGTGGCAACGGGTTTTTTTTGGACTTCAAAGATTTATTTGATTGATTTATCGATTTTTATTAAAGTTTCAGGAGATTATATTGATTTTTTTAAACTAACTATTCTTTTTTATTGATAGGTTAAGAAGTTTCCGAATCGCCCTCGTATCGTGCATACATACAATAAAATAATTTCTAGGCCATAAAATATTTTTGAAACTATTTACATGTATACTTTATCCTACAGGTGATCAAATACAACAAAATAATTGTGCAAAGATACTAAAAATTGCACAAGACACCAATAAAATAGAACCAACCACAATATTATGTGTTAAGTGTCATCTTTGAGGTAACTTGTCAATGTCTCTTAGATGTAATTGTAAATGATCGAATCGAAAGAACTTGCAAATGCTAAAGACAATTTTGGACAAATTCCATTTTAACTTGTTGAAGTTTTTCAAGCATATCCCAATATGAATTAGATGGCCCATTTCATTCATGTTGGCGACATAAGTATCATGACATTCACATTTTGGAAACTTGATCTGTTACTAAATTAAAATACCACAAATATGTAAATACCAAACATTACATACAGAATAAGTAAACTTTTACATTTACCCACAACTTAATTTCAATTACATATTTATGGTTAATGTTTAGTGCTGTTGCATTACGTCATTTAAGGTATTTGACTGGTTGCGAAAATGTAAGATGCTTTGGCTAGACAGTATGTATGACCAAATCAACTGTACGTTGTGTGGTACACACCTCCTCCTCTATGTGATTTTATACTTAATTACTATTTCTGAAATTGAACATTTTGGAACTTTTTCCTCCCAACGATATAAACTACCTAAGAATTGTGCTGGTGCATCAGTTCGTGGTTAACAAGACATTTGTAAACAAGGCCATCGTTTTCCCATTGCTATGTGTTGTCACATCTTGTGTCAATGATTACAAATAGGAGTCTTGAAACGTAACGCAGTCTATATGTTTTTCGAGAAACAAATAACGGTGAGGCACAACATCAAACATAAATTAACATATATTTATTATATTGGTCATGTGATTATGTATGTAAGTTCTAGCGGTTTATACATTTTTAAATATGGGTCTGTATAATAAGGTATCTCGTGCTTTCTCACGAAAACTTCACAGTTTGCATGGAAATGTTGTCGCATATCACGCATTGTAATAAGTCCATATGTGTATGGCATAACACCCAGCTTCAAAATACAGGAGATTATGTTACATAGCCTGTATTGGAATATGTCCATTGGTGTTTGTCAAAATCTCTGACCGAAGTCCATCTAAATTTAAAGTCTTTATTAAAAATCTGACTATAGGAGAAACTCGCCCCCAAAAGACGTTTACACCCATAATATTTACAATTATAAAAAGAGATATTGTAGAAAATCCCTTATATCTCCTTTTATATTGTAAAGATTTTTGTTTGGGTAGTCGTACTTTGCCCATGACATATTGTTATGGAAATATTGCGATACGTATGAAGTTTAATGACACACCACACACAAATTTTCCATTAAGAAGGAGTACTCTGGAAGCCAAAAACATCCCAAAGAGCCAGGATTTTCGCTTTTAGTGATTTAAAATCTTCAATAAATCACGAATATAAAAGTAATTAATAACAGAACTTTAAAGAATAATTGGTGTTGTAAGTGATATCAGTGTCAACGTCATTTAAGGGAAGCCCACCACAAGATTTTCAATGGGCTGGTAAATCAATACCAATGCTTGTTAAGGTTTGTAACTTTGCACATATATATGTGAAGATTTAAAAATTGTTTGTAATTGTTTTGTTGTTGTTTGTTGTATTTAAAAAGAATTCCTTATTTTTGATGGCGGGCATGATAACTCCTCACTGGAACATCGGAATCCGAAAATTCCAACGGTATGAACTGGGATTATTGACTTTGCTTTAAAATTAATAAAATGGCGGACCTTTGAAAAAATATTTTTGGAAAATCGCCGATTTTTGACCAAGAACCAAGTTAAAAAATAAGGAAGATCTTCACCGATTGGATTTATCCTAGTTCATACGATAGCTATACATTCACAGAGAAACGTGTAAAAATTTGGAATCGATTGGGTTATTAGTTTTTGAGTTATCGTGCCCGCCATTCGCAAAAGAGAAAAACGCGTTTAAAGTTTGAGAAGCCCTTTAGCCGTCACTTGATGCTGACACAATAAAGCGGAAATATCTTCAAGAGTTCTTGAGATTTACACTTGAAATTTTGTAGGGACGGTCTTGAATTAGTGTAGATTCGAATTAAATAAAAAAAAATGACCCCGAGAATGGGGGGGGGTCCCCTTAATTTTAAAATTTAATATGTTTGATTAAAATAATTAATTAAAAAAATAAAATAATTAATTAAAATAACTTATATAACATTGACATGCATCGAAATATTAACATGTAACGAAGGTCAATTACACAGTTAGACCTGCTGATTATAAGGAAAGAGAAACTTGTTATACATTTGAAGATAATCAATAAAAATTCCCATTCTAAAAATTATAATTATGATTTCTTAAAATAAAAGGTCAGTTAGACAGACTAGAGTCAAAGGATATTTTAAGGGTTATAGCACCAATCGAGGCCTTGATATGTTGTCTGAGCAGAATTTTGCGACCATCTGCGACCGTTCGTAAACGTAAGAGTTATTGCCGATAATATGAAAATAGTCGTTGAAAATTGCGTTTAAAAATTTAATAATAAAAAAATTAAAATTGACTTTTAGTAACATAGCTGATGATAAACTTGAAAGATATTTGTCTCATATTCAAAAGCAAATGGGCTGTAATTTGGCATTATGAGTTCGCATTGCGTAGTCCATATTCTTACCAAAAATGATTAATTTTAATTTTGGTCCAATATTTGGGATAGCCCCCATACAGTGGCATCTCCTAATGTTGGATTTTTGGCGATTTTGCTCGCGTTTTTCAACCGAATTGTCTGTAATTTAGTATTTAAACTACCATTGGGTTTGCAATTTTGGTACAAAGCAAAATCTATCAATATTTGGTAGTTTGGGGATTTTGAGTACTTTTTTCAATCAAATTGAATTTTATATATCCTTAACAGCTGATATTTATTTATTACACACACACACACACACACACACACACACACACACACACACACACACACACACACACACACACACACACACACACACACACACACACACACACACACACACACACACACACACACACACACACACACACACACACACACACACACACACACACACACACACACACACACACACACACACACACACACACACACACACACACACACACACACACACACACACACACACACACACACACACACACACACACACACACACACACACACACACACACACACACACACACACACACACACACACACACACACACACACACACACACACACACACACACACACACACACACACACACACACACACACACACACACACACACACACACACACACACACACACACACACACACACACACACACACACACACACACACACACACACACACACACACACACACACACACACACACACACACACACACACACACACACACACATACACACACACACACACACACACACACACACACACACACACACACACACACACACACACACACACACACACACACACACACACACACACATAAAGCCACTGATATAATTATAACCAAAAAATGGGATCTCTGGCCCAATAGTCTAGAGTTTTGAAACTTTGCACTGACATTGGTATTATCCCAGGATGGCTGGTATTGCAAATGGGGCATTTCGATACACCTTTTGGTTTAGCTCCTATATAACGGTACCCAAAAATATTCGGTATTATATGTTTTTCAACCGAATTGACTGTAGTTTACTAAAATCTCCCTATCAAGGCCCAAGTTTTCGAGTAGCCCCCATATGATATACAACATAATTCGCTGTAATTTGATTTTTCAAATTCTTATGGGGATGCCAAATATTTAATGTCAGTTTA